CTTCTCCCCCCCTCCTCCACCAGCTTCCTCTCCCCCTCCTTCTCCCCTTCCTCCTTCTCCCCCTCCCCCTCTCACCACTTCTCACTTCTCCCCCCCTCCTCCACCAGCTTCCTCTCCCCCTCCTTCTTCCCCTTCCTCCTTCTCCACCAGCTTCTCCCCTCCGCCTCCACCAGCTTCTCCATCCTCCTTCTCCACCACACTTCTCTCTTCTCCCCCCTCCTTCTCCACCAGCTTCTCCCTCCTCCTCCTCCTCCCTCCTCCATCATCTTCTCTCCTCCCCTCCCCTACTCCAGCACCTTCTCTCCTCCTCCTCCTCCTCCTCCCATCACCTCTTCTCTCCTCCTCCTCCTCCTCCTCCTCCTCCTCCCTCCTCCATCACCTTCTCTCTTCCTCCTCCTCCTCCTGCATTACCTTCTCGCCTCTCCTCCTCCCTCCTCCTCCCTTCTCATCACCTTCTCTCCTCCTCCTCCTCCTCCTACTCCATCACCTTCTCCCCTCCTCCTCCCTTCCTCCTCCTCCCTCTCTCCATCACCTTCTCCCCTCATCGCCCCCCTACTCCATCACCTTCCCCCTCCTCCTCCTCCTCCCTCCCTCCTCCATTATTCTCCCCTCCCTCCTCCCCCTACTCCATCACCTTCTCTCCTCCTCCTCCTCCATCACCTTCCCTCTCCTCCTCCTTCCCTCCTCCTCCTCCTCCTCCATCACCTTCTCGCCTCCTCCTCCTCCCTTCTCCATCACCGTCTCTTCTCCTCCTCCTCCTCCCTCCTCCATCACCTTCTCTGCCCCTCCTCTCCTCCACACCTCCCCTCCTCCTCCTCCATCATCTTCTCCTCCTCCTCCCTCCTCCTCCTCCATCACCTTCTCCCCTCCTCCTCCTCCTCCTCCTAACCCTCCTATGGGCAGCCGGGTTAAGATATAATGTGCTGCGAACAATTCCAGACCGCGTCTGAGATTACCCAGTCTGAATTTACCCACCTATGGGCACACAGGAATATAATTTGCAGTGGGAATTTCAGACTGGGTAATCTCAGACGTGACACCGGTCTGAGATTACCCAGTCTGAATTTACCCACCTATGGCACACACGATATAATTTGCAGGGGGAAATTTCAGACTGGGGTAATCTCAGACCGTGACACCGCCGTCTGAGATTACCCCAGTCTGAATTTACCCACCTATGGGCACACAGGATATAATTTGCTAGGGTAATTTCAACTGGGGGTAATCTCAAGACCGTGACACCGGTCTGAGATTACCCCAGTCTGAATTTACCCTCCTACTGCCAGACTAATCTCAGCACTGTGGCCGGCCAGTCTCATTATCCACCGCTACTGCGCATGCGTCACGCATCGCACGAGGGCTCTAGGGGTAATTTCAGACTGGGGTAATCTCAGACCGTGACACCGTCTCTCTGGACATTCTGCAGCCCGGATCCGCGCGAAGCGCGCTTCGCGCCACCTGTTGGCGCCTTTTGAACGAAATACGCTTGCTCTGCCAATATCACTTTTACGGTTATGTAAAATGGGCTGTAATCCGGTGAATTGAGTGATTCTGCTGATTGCAGAAGCCTTTCGACTTGCACGCTAGGCGAGAATAAATCCAATGGTCGTTATTGTTACTTAGTTTTGTGCGCTTGGCCGTTTAGGTTTTATTCTAAAAAGCCGCATTTCGAATTTATTTAATTCCACGCCCTGAAACTGATTTCGTAGATATCGCGGCCATAGATGGCGTGACAGGCTCCTCGTTCGAGGATTTTGCAAATGTGTTAGACTGCCCCGCCGGTGCAGAGTTTGACACCTCCACTAACTTTAGTGTAGCGAAAGAGACTTCCCGAATCAACGTCCGTACCAGTCTTTTGAGCACGCAGACCTGACTGATTTATGGTTGTTTACACTGATGTATGTCTCAGCGTCTGTTATTACCCCCCATGCTGCGTGATGGTTTCGCATTCATGACGTCAAGACTTGAAGCATGTATATATATAGCACAGTAGCGCGGTACGGCAGGCAGGTAGCGTCCTGGTAGTTACTAGTACTAGCTACTAGTAGTGCTGGTACACTTAGTATTACTACTACTACTAGTACTAGTAGTAGTACTTAGTAGTAATTATTGTAACATGTACTTGCTAGTAATACAAGTATTCGTAGCCGGTAGGTGTGGAATGTGAATACCAGTGTCTCTCTAGATGTTTGCTCATGGCTGCCGTACGATGGAATATATGCAAAAACGGCAAACCACATACCGCACGGCACCGGTTGGTGAAGTACTGTTACAATAATTATTACTACAGTACTACTAAGCTACATTAACTTACTAATAATGACAGAACCCTAACCATAACCCTAACCCTATTATATTGATATAATATTATTATTATTGAAGTAAAATGACATTGGTTTTACTGCCCATGCTATACATTGGGGCCCATATAATATTGGGAGCACCTTCCTCTATCCTTGAACCACTAGTACTACTAGACTACTACGACTACGCAAGAAACGCTCTTTGACAGGTTAGAATACCCCTAGCTTATACTAGACACAGGCACTTGAAGCGTTTCAATAAAATATAATGCTAACTAAATACGAAATATATTTACTACAAAATTGTTAATGTTTCTAGTATAGGCCTACTCTCTTTCAAGCAGTTGCGAGGTGCAAAGGCTATATATAGACTACGACTCGCTCCACCTCGATTAGCCATTGAGTGACTAAGCTAAGCCGAGAGCGTGCGATGAGAGCTGGCAGCTATGGCTATAGGCAGCGGGCAGGCGGCGCACTGCTTTCGAACTGCCGTACGCCGGCCTCGCCATTGGAACGTTGCAAAAAACGTTGCAGCGTTGGGCGCGAAGAGCGCCGGTAGGTGTTTCCTGATTCTGACAGCCGTTTCTCATTACTGGCAAGGTTCGCGAATGTCGAATTTCGGACAGTCTTTCTGTGACTTCGCGTGACACAGCTCGGTTACGAACAGATTACTCGGTTACAGTTTTATAACAAAGTGAAACAGTGTCACCTCCAAATGTCTACCCTCTGTGTCCCCCACTAAAATTTGCGGGACTCTTCGCTCGCAGCTATGGATCCGTGCGCCCCGCCAATTCATTACCCGCACGCATCCATAGCGCCAGCCGCTCATACTGTCGTAGACGTTCCCGCGTCTGCGCTGCGCCTTGCCGCGAGAACTGCCGAAAATCTGCCGCTCAGCGCTTCGGAGATGAAATCTCCGTGCAAATACACTTTATGACGTCCAGTATGGCGGCGCAGTATGCGGGCGCCCCTACCCTAACCCTAACCTAATCTAACCCTAACCCTAACAACTGTTATTTTAGGTTTAGGGTTAGTTTTAGGTGCTAGGGCTTAGGTTACGGGTTAGAATTAGGTATATGTTAGGTTAGTCGCCCCCATACGCGCCGCCATACTGCGACGTCATAAAGTGTATTTGCCCACCAAATCTCCTTTCGCAACGCTTCTTAGTATCCCGTCTCATCTGGATTTTAATGTAATGACTCATGGCATGACAATGTGAATGTCAATGAAAATGTAACTAAAAATACAGCTTAATAAATCAGGGTGCTAAGCCAAGGTAAAATTTACCAGCTTAACGTACTAGGTTTTGCCAGAGATTCGCAACCTGTAAATATAAAGTCAGTTATATGTGAACGCTCCATCTCTTGACACACGCTATTCTCAATAATATTCAATTTACAAAATACATGCTTGCTTAGTGCGCAGACATGTTGGATAGACGTATAGCAAGAAGTATGTCAATATTAAACATTTATCTTCATAAGTACACGTAACATGTACAATTAAACTTGTGGTAATTCACTTTAAATAACTATATCTATACTATTATAAGTATAGTTTTGTTAGACTACATTTAAGAGTAAAATTACTAAAAAGGAAAAGTTAAGTATCCATGTAACACGTTTTGTGATAATCGCGTGGCGCATTGATATACAATAATTATACTAAAATAACTCAATTAATCTTCATTTACGTAGTTATGAATACATATAAAACACATAACAGATTTGAGTTAATCAAATTCGATCTCGTATTTGTATTGCTCAGTATTTAGCCCATTTAAGCTAGTGTTATCACGTACCATGGGGATTATTTGTCGTTATGGCGCAGTAATCATTATTTACAAAATGTGTTACAAGGCACAACAAACTACGAATACATATATTTATAATAATTAATATTCAGCTGTTAGAAACCGTGTTTATATTTATTTACTCTATAATAATACAATTGTTGTGTACACTAAGCGAGTGAAATGTCTGAAAATCTTAATTCGAGCGTCTCTGCATCAGAAATTGATAAATCGATTGTGGTAGAACAGTCTTCTGGTGGTGGTCATGTTGACACTCGTGCTGCGGCAGACAGTGTCAGTGAAAGCGCCAGGGCGGGCAGTGGAGACAGGGACAATGTAAACTCGGGTAGTATTGCCATCAGGAGTAGTGTCACAAATTCCGAGGGAAAAGAAATCACACAACTGCAGAATCAACTGTCTGGCATTACAGTATCACGGTGCAAAGGGTATTGTTAAGTAATGTCTTCAGAATGGTTTATTCCCTGTTGCGTTGGCCTACTCCCATATCGCCTACGGCAAAATTCCCATTTCGCCTAGAGCAAAATTCCCAGTTGGCCTACTCCCAATTCGTCTACGCTCAAAATCTACCACATTTCCATTTCGCCTACGATCGGTTTGTTCACTAAATGATTTATATTATAAATAATAACATATGGTTTTGATTGGCATACATAGACTACAGTCTACAGGTTGCAGGAACCAGAAGAAAACATAGGTGCAAATAAAGAGAACACAACTTGACATTACTTATTCTGAGAGTAGCCGAAATGGGAGTAGGCCAACTGGGATGTTACCTTCAGAATGTGGGGGGTTGTTGTAAACTTGGACTACACTATATTATTATTTATTCTTGTTCATTTTCTGCAAGCCAGCTATGTCTTGATTTTTCTGTTAGACTTGGTAGCAAAAGTAAACAATTCATCAATAGTATGCATGTTTTCATATATAATTCAATATATCTATAAGAACAATTATACATATATGTCAAAGCTCTAGCTCACACATCTCTGCGCAATCTTAGTTTGGTACCCCGACCCTCATTTTCGCAAATGTGTTAAACTAATCAGGGGTACTAAACTAGGATTTAGCCAACATTTGTAGCTTTTGACCGCACTGCCCTGCATTATGGCTATAGTAAGTTCGATACATTTTCAGTCATGGCAAAATATCAGCTGACCCTGTATAGTCAAATAAATGCATTCTACTTGCTAAAATTTTCAGAAGGGCATTACTAGGAAGCTATACAAAAACAATACAGATTACACGTTAGGTAATTAGAATGTGTGTTCTGTGTATAGTATGGGAATGTTAGACTTAAAAGTAGTCTGCTAGTTTTGCTGTAGTCTACTGCCACCTGAAAGTATATACGCAATATAATGAATGCGATTCAGGCTACTTTTATGTTTGACATGCCTATACTATAAGCAGAGAATGCATGCTAATTTCCCAAGAATGATTCGTATTGTTTTTGTATAGCTTCCAATCTTTATGCTCATTTCTTTTTTTACTTTATAGCTTAGATCTCAAGTTGAAGAATGAGTACCACAAGTTTCCAGACTCTTATAAAAGTAATACTCCAAAGGAACTTCTAATACTGGGATATGCCGAGAACTTCAGGCGACAATACGTACATCTTTACAAAGACCGCAAGCCTTTACTCTTGTCTCCTTTCAATGAATGTGAATGTGAGGTACAACGATAATTAAAAGTATCTTCTCTCATAATTAACTAATTAGTAATAAATTACCTGAAAGCCAATACAAATATCATGTTCATTGTTGAGGTATAAATGAGTGTTAGCCTTGAAAGACATCACGGTTTTACCAAAGAGTGGCAAATAAAAAATCTGTTTATAACATCCATGCCAATAGATGTACTTTATACATTGCATTAATATTTACATTTCCAGAAATTTGTTTGTACAACACTGAACCAAACCAGTCTTCAATTTGAAGAATTGTACGAGTTTGACAAGTGTGCAGCTTTCGTGGCAGACTGTCTGAACTATGTACCACTGCACCCTCCCACTGAACTTGTAAGTATAGACCCTGCTTTCATGACACAGAACTATTTTTCCAATACTCTTGAATAAAATTTCAACCACATTTTATTTTGAGACTACAGGGCAAATGTATATTAATAAGTTTATTCTGATATGCAAATGAACCTATAATCCACTGCTAAATGTTAATTAGGCAAAAATGGGTTACTGCAGCTCCTAAATGTACCCCAGATTCTCTCGTACTGTCCATTACATTATCTATTAGAATCTTGTAAAATGATGCATTTCTATTGAAATATTTGTTTATTATTATCATTATTATTATCGCCCTCTCATGGCACATGTATGCTGATATAATGATGATCCCCATATAATAATGATGACGATGATCAACCTCTCACTCTTTCATTCTCATTCTCACTTTCTTTCTCTCTCTCTCTCTCTCTCTCTCTCTCTCTCTCT